TAGGGCCTATTTAAAATACATTTTTCTCAATTGTAAAAGTTTGCAAATTCTATTTGGATGTGCTTTCTCTGTCTTAGTCAGTTACTTGGTGATGAGAGATCTGTGTCTCGTGTCCACCAAGTTTCCTGTAACTGTAGCAGTCTGCTGTGATGACAACACATTGCTCCTCTCAAAGACAAGAATATGATGGGATTTGTTGTGCCTGAAAAGAATATGTGCATTTTTAACAAATGAACATGTAGGTTAGAGATCAAGTATGTGATATTTGTATTTTAGGAGTGCAATTTTTTTCCACTCTTGTTTGTGCTGTATTGGCTATTTCAGAGTTATTTTACTGTAAAATGCCCTTATATGTATATAATATATCAGGGAAAAATGCAAATTTGTAAAAAAAACCAAAAAAACCTGCCCCAACCGATATAGTGTTTTTTATTGATGTCTTCTTGTTCCCAGGACTTTGGGATAATAATATGCACTTGCCCTGTGCCTGTACCTTTTATGACAAATGAACAAACTGTAATCCTTCAAAGGTATCGGGGCAAATGTTTCCAGTTTAATTTGTCATCTGGATAGTCCATGGGAAACTGTCTTTATTTAACATATTTCTGAATGGTGAGGGCTAGGCAAAGGGTTGCACACTGTGAGCAGACAACAGAAACAACTATGGGATTGTTAGAAAAAGAACAGATTTGTATCAACCTCCAGTCACAGGCTGGCTGTATCTATAGCTTGAGGGAAGTAGTGACTGAGGCTGAGTGAGAGATGATTGGGACTGCGTCAAATGTGCACATGAGCTACTCATAGTATTGCCATGTATGGATGATGAGTGTCTTCAACAGCTGAAATGTTTTTGATCAAAAGTGTCTCTCATCGTGAAGCATTGCAGCATAGACTGTTATGCTTTGAATTCAGATCATTATTTGAATTAACGGAGAATGCCCATAATAAATTAAAGGTATTTTTGTATGAGTTTATGCTCTGTGTATATAGTATATGACTGATGTGTATAGATGAGACAGCAAGAAGACTGAGTCCATTAATTGTCTGTCTGTGTGTGGTGTGTGTGCGTGTGTGTGTCTGTATGTGTGTGTTTGTGTGTGCATGTGTATGAGAGAGAGAGAGAGAATTTCCGTGTTAATGCTGAGTCTCTGTATTTTGATGTTCTGGTATATCCTACCAAAATTTCCCTCATGGATCAAAGAAGTTTATCTTAGAAAGCCCTGGGAAAGGCAAAGTGATGGAGATATCAGAAGTATATAAAAAGAAACAACAGATTTATCAGAGCCAACCTTCAAGCATGTGTAGAGTATCTGAGACACTGACATAGGTACCGAGTGAGATGTAGGCGTATGTGGTGCAGTTGCTTTTGACTGATGGAACAGAATTTGACACTGCGAAACAGAAAACCTTTCTTGCATTGTTCTTTAGAGACAAATCGGGTATCCTTTAACTTTAATATTTTCTCCTTTTTCATCCAGTGCTGCACGCACATAGGTTCTCATTAACTTTCTCGAGTGACAAATATATTTATTTGGTCCCTCTGAAGTCGATATATCAGTATTCCCGTTTTATTAGTTTAGTGATGTGTTCCTGAGTGAAATGTGAATGTAAGCTTTTCTGTTATTTGTGTGGTATTGCTCTGTATTCAAAACAATACACAGATACTTCAATGCATTTCATTGGTAACTGTAGCATTTATAGCTAGCTGGGTCACTCTTGAGTAGGATCACAGTGTCATGGTCATTTACATTGTGTTTCTACATTCCTTATAGGTGCAATGTTACTCGTTTGATAAGAAGATTATATTCAGATTGGTTACTTTTGTTATATCATCTCATGAAAAGATGTGGTGCAGAAACCCATGTCTACTCATAAAAGTAATCACAGACAACAAGAGAAAAGATTAGAACCGTGTCATTATCCCTGACAGAGAAAGAGAATAATGAGTGGGTTGATGATTCACACCATTCTGTTTCATAAAGCCAAAGAAATAACAAGATGGGCCACTCAGCCAAAAAAGTGTCCGCAGGAAGTTCGCTCTTTGCTTCAGATGGCGCTGCAGTCTCTGTTGAAGCTCTCTTTCGTTTTTCCAGAAGAAGAATAGGAATAGCACCTCCTTGCGTGCGTAGATCGACTGCTGTTCATCAGCAGTTCGGGTTCGTTCAGTGCGGAGTTTTAGGTTTTTTAAATTTTAATGACCTCTCGTCTTTCATTCTAAAGTCAAATTAAAAGAAGAAAACAATCACCCTTTCCTCCGGAAGAGGTTTTTTGTCAGCATAACCATTTTAAAAAAGAGTTCTTCCGAAATTCATTCAAAAACTTGCTAGTTTCACTTTGATTTTTTAAACTCAAGTAGGGTAACTCTGTTCGCAAAAGGTGCGCTTTTGTGAAGAGGGCGCCACCGAATTTTGA